TATCAATATTCTTTTGCCTATTTTATATTAGACTAAATAAACCAATAATATCTCCCTATCCGCTAAAATAAATGGATTAAAAAAAACCAAAAGATGAAGCCAAATAATTATTCTTACTCATTACATTAAGACGGAGCCGAAAGCCGAGGCATGGATAGAATTAGGTAGGGGTCTGTGGGCCCAAGCCAAAGGTAACATCCGTAAGACGGAGCCCACATGGGCGTCACGTGTCCTCAAGGCCCCTTGTGGCGTGCGACCCATCCACGCAGGCGACACTTGGAATCCGGAGGCGCCCATCGGTTGTACTGTGGGTCCGCCAGGTCAGCATCGAATCCAAGGATAGAAAATATCTGGACTGAGCCCGGTAATTGCTCCAAGACCAAGACACGCAAAGTTTCGCTCCCCAAACTATGCGACACGTGGTGCTCTTGGGTCACTGCTGGCTTTGTAAATTTGTAGTGGTAGGCCGAGTACATAGGATTGTAGGGGAGCGCACATACCATTCCAACTCGTCAGCCAACAAACTATTGCCACGCGGAGGACGATGCTTTCTCACGTGCTGATCACGTGAGCTTTGTACGAGTGGCCTGGGTTAAACTGAATTTGAAATGCGTGGACCTCAGTGCAGGGTATAAAAACTAAACGGCTGCGGGGCATGTCGTAAAGAAGAAGCTAACGAACAAACTTCGAAGGAACTGGTGAAGATATTTTCCCAATTTGCTTCATTCGCCGTAGAAAGACGCAAATAGCCCTGATCCCACTGTCGTAGGCACTACAAAGTCAGGGAATTAAATCTGAAATAGAGGGCTGTTTCCGTAACCCACTGCAACGCTGCAACTTCTCTCATATATCTTGCTCTGCTCTGCTGTTGAGAGACAGATAAACGAAGAAGCAGAAAATGAGAGAGTGCGAGCTGTGTGGACTGAGAGCTCGGATTCACTGCGAGGCGGACCAGGCGAAGTTATGCTGGGACTGCGATGAGAAAGTTCACGGAGCCAATTTTCTGGTGGCGAAGCACCCGAGGAACCTCCTCTGCCATGGATGCCAGTCGCCGACTCCATGGATGGGCTCGGGACCCAAGCTCACGCCGACCGTCTCGGTCTGCGAGATTTGTGTCGAAAGGCGTGGAATTAAGTTTCAGCGGCACGAGGATCAAGAAAGCGAAGCAGAGAACGAAGACGATGTTGATCTTGATGACGAGGATGATGATGATGATGGTGGTCATGATGGTGAAGATGTTGATGATGATGCTGATGATGATGAGGAGGATGAAAATCAGGTGGTTCCGTGGTCTAGTTCGCATCCGGCGGCGGCAGAGCCTCCGCCTGCGGTGAGTTGTTCGAGTAGTGAAGAAGAAGAAGAAGAGGAGGAGGAATTTTTGGTGGTGTCGAAGCGAATGCGAGAGAATGCGGATCCAGATTCTGATTTGGGATGTGACGAAACGTCGTCGTTGGCTTCGCTGAGGCTGTTGAAGCGAGCGAGACTGGGCGAAGAGAACCGTTTACTGAGTGAGAGATCAAGTGAAGCGGAGTTAAGATCAACGGCGATCGTGAGCTCAATTGAGAGTCTTCAAAATCAAACGGACGTGATCAGCGACGGTGATGATCCTGCGTCCGCCGCGGTCCTCGGGATTTGCGAACCCAGAAGAGATGGTCAGAGCCGTTGATATTAATTCATTTTAAATTCCTAACCACACAATACATAGTGCTAGTTGTTGGATTGAATGTTGATATTGTCCATAATAACCATATGAAATTAATATTTGACCCCTTCATTTTCCAATTAATGTAAGATTAAGATTCGCTCCAATTTAATTAATGTTGACATTTTGGTGTGTATTTGCAAAATTAAGTCTCAACCTCAGAAATAAAATAAATTTATATGTGGGTGGGGGCCTCAGTTGATTTTTTCCATAAAAAACGCGGATTGAATGGAGATGGACAAGATGTGGTGGCAGTTGATAACTTGTGGAACTAGTGGCTGATGGGGTAGCAAAACTCCTCCTTATTTTAATGTATGGTATGAGGAGGAGGAGGAGGAGGCTTTCTCTAGTTTTTGTTTTGTTTGGTGAAGAAATAGAAATGTTTTTATTTGTGTTGGTTGAGCTTTTGACTTATTTCAATTCTAGTAGGATACAATATTATTTGGCTTTTAATTGTCACTTGTACTACTAGTTGCAACTTGCTTGTCTTGTGTTCTTGTGAGGAACATATATACAGGATGCATGAGTTGATGAGGCAGAGCCCGCCAGCCCCAACATGTAAATAAAAGAATGAGTTATGCTAGCATCAGTTGTCCACATAATACGTGTTTGTGAGGTGCGTATGCGTGCGTGTGAGGCTTATAATCTATTTGTTACTCACAATCACTTACGTGCACGTGGATGACTGATGTTAGCTCTTTTTAAAAAGAAGATAAGCTACTACCATCTACGTCTAGAATGTCGGACCTTAGTCTACCATGATATCATACTTTTTTCCATGAATTGACAGGGTAGACCCGAGACCCAATTCTCAAGGGGATTGGATAAGATTAATCTTAATCGCCTTGTTTTAAAGCAAATAGCTTATATAAATAAATAATATGTATAAGACACTAACTATGCGTTCATTGTCGGTCAAACTTCATAAGGATGTGATCGAGATTTGATTTTTCACCACACATCCATGTAGAAAGACTAGGCTGTGTGTGATGCAATGCAAGTTGACCAACAATTTGGGCAACGTCAAGAGACAAAACCCAAATGCAAAAACGAGTCGTTTTTTGAAAATAAATTAGTGAAATGGGGAAGCCATTGCTAACCAACAAATCCCTATGATCATATCTAAATGGGATATGGAATGAGGGTTTCTGCACAAAAGATGTAAGGTTGTGTGATATTGATGGCTTGAGGAGGTGCATGCATATTTGCATACCCCAACATTCAAATTCGGTTGAGGATAAGGATGCATTTGGCATGTAGCTGTTTGTTTCCACGTACCATTCACTCGTCACCCGTCATCTAAAAACTGCTAAAAGCTACATGCCAATTGCATTTGGCTTTTAGCAATTTGCTTTCATCCACAACATTCACTCGTCACCCGTCATCTAAAAACTGTTACGGATAGTCGCCCACACAAATATGGGTAATCTTTTATCATAGATCTGAATCCTACAACTCAGTCACTAACTACCCCATTATTTTACCTTCGTCACAACATCCAAAAGCAAATGGCATTTACCTTTTTCCTCATGGTGAAGGGCAGCAAATTCACTGGTTTTTCAGGAACACAACTACTTGTTCAAGAAAATGGAAAAGAAGAAAGAAAGAGAAGGAAGTTCCATTGTCAGAATAAATCATAGACGCGAGAAAAATGAATGGCTTCAAAATATTACGCGGTCCAAATTATGGTAGAAAAGAAAGTACCTTTTCATACCAAATGATTTAGGGTTGTCTAGCCATACAAATTAATAAACATGTCTTGTAATTCTGATGAGAAAATTATTAGACACAAAAAGATCTAATAATTGAATTTGCATACTAGCAAAGCAACAACAAGCACATCCTTGAAACTAAAAAGAGACAAATGAGTCACAAAGCAATCGAACAAAGTAGGAAAGGCCTCACAGAATCCCATAAACCTCATTTACCATACAAATAGCATCTCCAATCCTCCAAGAAATTCATACGTTTGAGAAAAAGCTGTTGGAGAGGAGAGAAAGCAGCCTTGACTCCTGCAGTCTGGACTCAACGTGTCAGCCAATCCCAGTTGACTCAGACATCTACACAAACCGCACAATTTAAAACCATGTTGACTTGGTCACACTCTACATAAACACCACAAAATTGAACACAGACGAAGCAGCACCTATTTTGCATGAAAATCATGAACAAAAAATAAATGAAAGCTGCAGGAAATGTACAGAAAGAAAAGGCACCAGTGTTTACGGATGTGTGTGATTATGTTTACGTGGATACAAGCTCTTACACAACAAAATACAAAAGTATCCAAAACAATTGAAAAATGTGTGTCGCAACAATAGTGCAACAACATATTATGATCAAGCAAAAAGAGAGATTTAGCACAACAAATGCTTACCTGTACTTGAGAGGATTCAACTACGACTTGGAATACATACTAAGCATCTGCACATAACAAACAATAATAATGTCATGAATACGTAAATTATCCAAAGATTCACTCTATAGATCAGTATAAAGTTCAGAACCCCAAAATAAAGAAAAGAACATCCACAAACAGACACTTTTCATATGATTACGTAAACTGTACACTAAAATGTCTCCACTGCACCGACCAGTACAGAAGAGACATGTCCCATAGCTCATAAACCTATTAGAATAACAACTAACAAGAAGACAACAAACTGTACACATTAGCTGATATCATGCAAAAATTCTATAATATAAAGATTTGCTGCTACTTAAAACAAATGAAAGCATATTATTTATTGTAAAATATGTGTGAAACAGTACAATGCATGTCAATGTCGTAATCCATTGCTGGATCAACTAGTATAGAGTAAAAACTTTTAGAAATTGTTCTTATTAATTCCATCATGGGTACAGATTACACAAGTAGCACCACCCTAAACACATTCACCAAAGATTCATGGGTACAGGTGCAAAATGTTCTTCAGGGAAATGCAAAAAGGTAAAACAAGAGGAAATTTAAACCCCATTAAGAATAACCATTTTGACTAAATTTCGTCACTTTGAGAATTTCCTTTCACAACATTTTATTACCTGATGACGTGATATGAGTCATACAGTCACATCAGTTAAACTTACTGACAAAACAAACTCTCATGTTCTGCTTCCTATAAGCCAGCAGCACTTCTAGAAGCCAATGATAGTGCATACCTATCCTCTTTAACAACCAGAGAGGAAGAATTTGGATCACCAGAAAATTAATTTATCACTTTCTATACGTGCAAAAAGATGTGGTTGGGCCCTGACAACTAGACATGTACAGAACAGCAAACCTACAAACCTACTTAGTGTTTTATTCTTAACCATTATACATGAACCCTGATTAGGTCCATGAGCAAAGCCTTTCATCTCAAAATAGCATGATGGGACTATCCAGCAGAGTGGAAATACAAGGGAGCTACCAAAATATGAGCAGCAAACTAGTTAAGTAAGCATTGGCCTCTTCTTAGCCTACTGAACCTACAACTAAAGTTGCCAGCAATGTGAACAACCTCCTTAGGCTACTGAATCTTATACAGAACATAGACCTGTGCAAGATGCAGTCTAGGAAATGACCAACTAGCAAAATAAGTGGTATTTGCAAATGAATATTCCCAAACACATGATAAATATGCAAATTTCAAAGTTATACCGCTTTTGGCATGGGGAACATATTCTGACATTTAATGATAGAAAGAGGTGGACTTGCTTTTATTTAGACGAAGCATCTGGCAGCACTACCAAAGGGTAAAAAATTCCAAATAATAGTTTTTCTTTGCAGAAAAAAGAAAAGGATATTCTCATACGTAGGATATTTTAGCGACAAAGCTAACCAGGCCAAATCTCAAGTGCATAAGGATCGTATACAGAATTTCATACAGGTTGTAGTGGAGATTGGAAAGACCAAGCAATTCTAAAAGTAAAACAAACTTAAATAGGAAATGTCCATGCTAATCTAGTTCAAAATATTCTTTTCACATTAAAAGAACCTCATGATGCTTCAGAGAGCAGCCATGAGTTGTGAACATTGCAAAATGTCAAACTTTGCTTAATCAACCTTGGTTCTGAAAATCCATAATCTATACAATAGAAACGATTTGCAGTTCACAATACTTCAGAAGCAAAACAACAATGAGGAGCACAAGCCCTCACCTGATATAACAATTTCAAATTTCCCTTTGCATAAAGTTAGATTGCTCATCTAATTGCATCCGTAACTCCTAAACAGAAAAAGTTCCCATTTGTAGCTCTCATATCAGACATACGAAACAATCATACACCCCCATTGCTACTAACAGACATATGCATATGGGTGTAATGTGCGCCAATCATACCCAACATGATACAATCGCCAGTTAAACAAACCAAATCCTAATCGATTAATAAAAGACCCAAATTTGAAGTTACTAGCAATTAAATCAGCGAAAAATCCCTAACCTTTTTTATGCTCGTCCTTTACCACTGGCTTGATCACGGCTTCTTCCTCCTCATCCTCTTTAACCGCAACAACAGCAGCAGGAGCAACAGCAGAACCACCAGCACCGGCACCGGCTCCATTGTCATCATCCGGAAAACGTACAACAACAACAGGGCAAACACAGTGATGAACGCAATAATCGCTCACACTCCCAAGCCTACCGTCATTCCCACGCTTCGCGGCGCCAACCCCTCGGCTCCCCATGATCACGGCACTGAGCCCTAGCCTCTCGACCTCCAAGCACAGCCTCTCCTTCATGTCATGGTCCTTAACGATGTGGATCTTGAAGGGAATCTGAGCCTCCTTCAAGGGCCTGGCGAGATCGGCGGCCTTGGAAGCAGTGAAGGCATCAAAGTCGTTCTCGAGCTTCTTCTGCTTGACGGAGTCGTTTAAGGCGTGGTTGTCGACGAAGTCAACGTCGTCGTTGGTATTGATGGAGAGGTCGACGGAGCCCCAGTCGGCGCCGAATAGGACGGAGGTGGGGCTGACGTGGAGGAGAACGACGGCGTCTCCGGGACGGATGTAGTGGTCGACGGCCCAGCGGACGGCATGGGCGCTCTCGGCGGGGAGGGTGGCGGCGGCGCCGAGCGCGCG